GACTTTTTTCAATTCTCTGCAGATGAACGATTTAGTATTTCCCAATTATCTAACATTTATGAATGTCATTTGGTTCGATTGCAGGGGCAACTAATTTCTTAAACCGATTACAATACCAAGAAACATAATCTGATTACCAGATCTTATTGGCCAGGATGATGAGATTTTTTTTTTTTTTTTTTCTAAAAGAAAAAAAATACTGGGTTTTATTTTCTTATTAGAGCTCTTACTACTTTCCTGCTAATACAAAATTAAAAAATATAATTTTTATGCCACTGCAATCTTAATAATTTCAAAACTATTTTAAAGCAATCTTTTATTTTATTATCATTTTGTCAATCCCTCAATTTCTCTTATTTTATTATTGTTCAATTTTTAGTTTTTTATTTCTCCCAAGAAATTAGTAATAGGAGGTTATGGTAGGTTCTGATTTCTTTATTACTATTATTTTTTAAAATTCTTTACACTAATTTAGCAATTGAATCGTTTTTATTAATGCTGCTGTTATAATTTTTTATCTAAATGTTCTTATATATTTGATAGTGATCTCTAAATATATAAATCAAGTGGAGAATTAACGAAAAAGTTTTTGGGGGAAATTAATGTAAAATTATGTTAGAATTGGTACATATGTCTAACTTCATTAATGAAATTTATATTTCCTTAAAAAATTACAGAACCTGAAAACTTATTAGAATCAACAAGAGCTACTTATACAAATTTGACCCTATGCCAGTTTAAACTGCATAGGCTTTTGTAAGATACCGAAGAGTACCAGTTGTCTCTGTAATCTCCTATGTGAATAATAAAACTTTTCAGGGAACTAAAGAATCATGCTCGTTTCAAAATTGCAAGGCCAATATCATTTAATCAAGCTAAGCTATCCATGTAACAGGCGAATAAAACAAAATAATGAAACTGTTTATATAAGACAACTTTAGCATGTGCTTATTGCTTAACACTTACAAAACACAAAGCTACTTCAGCTTGGGCCTGAAGCTCTTCCAAGACCTTTACGATTTTCTCACGGCACATGCTAGTTTCACTTTGCTCTCTCAGCATTTTCCTTATCCTTCATCCGTGCATAAGAAGAAAGAAGGATTAGAAAATGATAAGACTAACTGGAGATTCACAGGTGTAACTAGACCAGAACGAAAATATCACATGACTAATTGGAGACTTGTCCAAAGAATTCTCCCTAACACAGTTCATCATAACTAACCAGAAAAGAAAAAAGAAAATGGTTCAAACTGACAAATGCACCGGCATTTGCTCAATAATTTGAATTATGGCCAGGAAATTTTAACATCTTAAGTATCCAATTTGCAGCTTACTCATTCTATCAGCAAGCATCCCTTTTCAGTTTAATCGTAAACCAGAATGCATAATGTGACATACCTATGAACAGTGGCTGTGTCGCCATGCCCGGTGCAGATAATAAGCATGGCATTAGTTGGTAGTGCATCGTAGAGACTACAAACCCTAGCATTCAAGCGAGTAAGGATCTCCTTTAGTTCAGCGGGAATGTTATATTTGTTGCCTCTTCTGTTGGCAGGTTTCTTACTGCATGTAAGTTCCGATATCATCCTAGCAAGTTTTTCATTCAACTTCTCCATGTCCTCTGCTTGTTTCTTGAAATAAGAATTCAATTCTGAAAATTGGGTCCAGACAAACTGTGCCCGCTGACTCTTCGCCTATAAAATCAATGAATGCAACAAGACTAGTAAGAATTGGTCATTAAAGAAGCGGAAGAATGTGCTAATACGAACAACAAACAATTTACTCTACCTCAATTTTGGCCCTGGAAAGAGCTTCATCATCAGATGACACAGGAATTGCATGGGATAATTCACCAGCATACCGCTTCACAATGGATACATCATCAATGAAAGAAGACATTTTTCCAAAGTCATTCAAAACTGAGAGGAGCTTCCTCCGCGTAAATGATGGAGGTGAACCGAAATCAGGGCCTGACAAAAAATTGCATGATGAACAAATATATTATTTTACATTAACAAACATAAAGGAAATTATTGACAAAGAAAAAGAATTAAAGGAAGAATTACAGTGAAGAAAACCGACGTTACTTACAGATTTTAGCATCAAAAAAGTGTATTATAGAAGTTCTTAACCATATTATTTTCAAAAGACTAGGTTTTATTTAAAAAACAAAAAAAAAAAAATCAAAAGACTAGGTTCCAGACATAGACACTATGTCAACTACTAGTGCTGGAAAATTAGGGTCCAGATCAACTGCTAGACATGTCCACCAAAAACATAATGATAATTAATACTGCAATTAAGAGAGTGTGGAAGATAACAAAGGACAAAGAACGTAATAGTGTCCCTTCAACATTGAGATTGCAACAATATGGAAATTTCCAAGATCAACAAGTAGAAGAAAGGTTTCTTTTAGGTGAAGACGGAATATCTGGGAGATGCTTCTCATGTTGTCAGAAGTTTGCATCACCAAGTTTCCTAGACAATTAAGTGGCTAATTTTAACCAACTGTTTTACAAAAAATGAAGATGGGAAGAGAAGAGTAAACTGGGATGAGGATTTTTGTACATAACTGAATATTTAATAAATCATTGGAAGTTGCCTTTCTAATTCCTTCTTCTATCCATTTCCCTCCCTCACTTTCTTTGTAGAGATTAGTTCTCCATTTAATTTATGCTTGAAATCTTCCTATGTTGATTTCCAGTAAAGTTTAATTGAGTGGAAACACAAAAACTGAGTGCTGAACTAACTAAATTTCCAGTATATTGTGGTGCAAATGGTACACCATTAATTCGTAGAAATGAATCACTTACCATTTTTAATCTTTAATAGTGCTAACTCCATTGCAGCTCTTGCATCCTCAATGCTGTCGTGTCCAGACCCTGACTGCTGTATCTCCTTACAAAGAAATCTCTTGGCCAGAACTCGAAGAGCAGTTTTATGAGACCCTCCACGGGGATGCTTGTATAATACAGCAGTATCAATTACCAACTCATGAAAGATTTTCAATGCTGACAGATCATTCTCCAAGGAATGCCCAACTAAGATGGTCTCTTTGTTTACCAGCTTTAAGAACTCTTCCTGAATACAGGAAGCAACTGTAAATAAATAAGACTATAACATTACAACATGAAATTTGAGTCCAAGCCTGTTGAAGCATTGAAGCAACAGTACACAACCGCGGCTGACATCAATGAGCAAAAAAAAATAATTGCTTAAAAAGGAAATAATGGCACACCTGAATATCTTGAAGACTTGTTGTCACCCCATCTAACATCTCTGATGTGATTCCGCTAAACCTGAACAATTCATCATGATGATTTTTCTCAGATAAAAATGAGGAGAGGGAAAGGGAGGCAAGGGATTTCATGAGCTGGTTAGTTATCCTAAATCAGCATAAAGCAAAGACCAAAGAAGTTGAGTATGAAAATTCAAACACATGCATAATAGTTAAATAGAATAAACTGGTGGTCAAAATAGTTCTAATAAAATTTCTATATCAATTGATAGACTATGAAAATTGATCCCACAAACACCAAAAGAACATGAATAAAGAGTATGATTTTGTACAGACTAGAAAATTCTGTGGAGAAGGAAATTGTTGGTCAGCTGCATGTGGAAAAGAAAACTGTTGGAAAGCTGCATATCCAACCTATTAGCATAAAATCTATATTGTCCTAATTTGACTATAATCCGTAGCTTTTCTAAATCAGTGGGATTCCTATCTTCTAGGCCTATGTTTTTAGGAAAGTCATAATTCTCCTTTGAGCGTACATGCTGTGGAAATACCTTGGATATTGTTCATAACAACCAAAATTTTTTCTCTCTGTTTCCCTCACATTCTATTTGAAACAAAATGGCAAAGATCCTTACACCAAAAAACTGATGTTGCATAATGGTACACTTCTTTTTCTTTCACGTCTAAGGAATCACCCCTTTATACCATGCCAAACAGATAAAATCACTAGTGATAAAATAAATCAATTGCTTACGCAGAAATTCCTTTTAAATTTGGACCATCCAAGTAGAGCACTATTTAGTGCATGAGCATATTAAGACAATAGATTTGCATAAATCCCAGCAGTTTGCATAGTCTGAGTGAAATCTCGACCTCAACATATGTTCAGGTGGGGGGAAGAGGTATAAACAAAGGGAGAGGAAAGGAAACAGAGCATGCCACCAGCATAGTCATTAATATATAATAACTACTACTCCAAGACCAAGATGCAGACTGCTTAAAGCTCAGTTACAAAGGTTTCAATATCATTCTATCTTGCACTGTGCATAAAGATGATATTTGTTAATGTGATAAAATGTTGCGATGCCACCAGGAGTCTGATGACAGTTGAAAAATATTTACCTTGTATTGTAATCAATGATGGAGTTTGAAGGTTTTACCAATTTATCCAACACAACCTGTGTAAAGCAATTCAAAGCCCAGTTAAAATGCAAAAAGAAATGTAGGGATGATTTATGTACAATAAAATTTTAACTCATCAATCTTAGAAATTATCCAAAATCTTAACTAATATTACCACTAAAATGTCATCAAAATTTTCAAAATGCAATGTCAGAGAAGACTGAAATTTAGTTTTGTATTTGGACCTTAAAAAAAACAGTTATATGATGTTCTAGTGAAATTATAGAGGTATATTGGTGGGAGAATCGGAAGCAAAGTAGATAATTCAATCACTTCTACTATTTGTACATTCATTTCTTTTTCTCTCAAATCTTCTCTCCTCTTATTTCTGTACAAATTTAGGGGACTCCTTTTATAAGGAAAAGGCACACCTCCCTTCCCAGTTGTGCCATCTTTCCAACAACAAAACCTGGGATGAAGAAGACTCCATTTGGACTCAGTCCAAACTCATTATATTATTGATTCACAATAATTATTTTTGACCCATAACATGCGTACTCATAAAGCAAATAAGTATGCAGATGAATCTCATTTACGCAGCAAAATCGAACTAAAATGAATTGATAGAGATGCAACTTCATGCCCCCAACCCTCCTCCTTTCCAGCCTAAAACTAATAAACATCCTCCTTTGCACTTGGAAAACTAGAATATAGTTATGTAGAATGAACCTGCCACCTTCAGAGCCCACTTTTCCCTTCCCTTTTCTAGTCTAAAGAAAATTAAAACGGAAATCCATTTTTTGAGAGAAATAGATAAAGCTATGTTAAACTGAAAATCCACTTCTTTTGGCAAACTAGCATAAAATTATATGCAGCATACCTGTCCTTTTATATCCACTAATGTGAGTCTCGTCAACTCGAAGCCCTCAGTTGTGATACACTATCAAACAGAAAAATTTTCCAAGGTTACATAAGCAGAGGGAACCAAGCAGAAAAAGAATATTAGAATACCAGAATAGACATTCCAACAAGAAGCGTTCTAAAAGAAGTCATTGAAAGCTGCAAAACCTAAAGAATAATCAACTTGCAAAATAGAAGCAAACCGATTTTGACTTTGTATTTAGAGAGGATAATCTTTCTTTGCAGGAATCAGAAATGATTCTGAAAAGGGGGATTTGTACTGGGATATTTAACCAAGTTGAGAAATGCACCTAACCAGACCGGTAGGTTAAACATGCTGACGTTAAAAAAGACATAACGAGTTGAAATTATAACAAGTGTTAAGAGAATAACACACCGAACTTAGGGCAAAGTATCCTTTTGATCCTTTGTGATTTGCCCAATCACAGTCCAACTTGTGGTTTTTTTTTAAATATTTTGTGGTTTGATTTTCTTTTTTATTAGGTTATGTAAATTGTTAACTTTAGAAGACATCTGAGAATATCTACAAGTGTGTGACCTTCTAAACACAACCATATGAAAATTTAAGGCTAAAATAAAAATATATATAAGATAATAGCTTTAGAACCCAATTTATTTATAAAAAAAATTAGCTTTAGACACTAATGATTTTGTGTAAACCATATGTTACTAAACTTTCAAAAAAAAAAAAACACAAAGTTTGCAATAAAATTAAGTCATATTCAAGTGAATTGTAATTTATATAACTTATTTAGGAGACAAAAGCATGCAATAGAACACTAATTCAATCAAAAATCCTGATATTATTACAGACTAGAGTATTAGAAGGCCAGAAGTTAATAAAACATCAAAGTGCAGGACCTCAACAGTACATCCTTTTTGATGACTTGATATTCAATATCCACTCTCTGAAACAACACTCTCCACTGAAAAACATTTGCATGATCAGCATTTTGCCTCTTTAAATTTATACCATTTACTCAGTAGAATCCAGATGATGAAATGCCACTTTTTTAAAATGAAGGATGCAAATGATTTAATATCAGAAAGCTAGAATAATGTCATACCAATCTCTCTCAACAGTTTGCAAACTTAAAAAGTCAGGAAGTAATATGACCATTTCAATAATGATGCATGAGTTGAAGGCTAGCCAATAAAAAATTCATGGATATCTCCATGGACATACCATCTCGCAATCAAGAGCCAATATTTCATTGAGAGAACCTGAAGGAGCAGGCATAGTAGAAAGACAATCTGCAAATAACCAAAAGAATCAAGAACTATGACAATTAACTAAAATATCAACAAAGTTCATATGAGAAGGAAAACATAACAAAATGCAAGGGATTCTATTACTTGATTGATTGCGACAATATCCATTGTCTTCCAATTCTTTTGCTGTAAGTGTGTAATATGTAATGGGAAATGGAAGATCCTTCAGGAGTTCCATAGAGGACGAATTATAAGTAAGAGAACCGGACGTATCTGCAAAAGGAAGATACAATGTATTACTCCAACATGGAAAGTTCTCAAAATTTTCAGGTTATGTTGATCAATCCATTGTATTATGCAATGCGGACATTTGTAAGAAATTAACATGAAATTTAGATAACACATTCTGTTAGACTTATAAGGCATCATCACAAGGACCATTGTTTGTGCCGCCCAAACTGAGTGTCAGAAAACAAGGTATAGCAAAATACTTTAGAGCAGAAGAGATCAACAAACCAAAAAACAAGGTCCATACATATAATTTATTCACGAGACACGACAACGAAAAACTTAAGTCCATGGTGAAGATGTCAATGAGACATAAATTTGAAGAAATGAAGATATGATGATAGCTAAGACTGATGGACCAAGAAGATTGACAATTAAACCCAAGTAGTATGCCATTTGCAGTTTGTTGCATGGGTTTAAAATTTTTTAATTGATTATAAACTAATATACCATGGATAAGATGTTAACAATTCCACTTAACGTTGTAAATTAAATTATTACAATATTAGAAGAAATTAGAAAATAGAAAGAAATTTAAGTTAGATCATCTTAATTAATTGATTCTAAAATTTAGAAATATATTATTCTTTTTAATTTTCCTAAATTAAGTATATTTATTTTTTTTTGAAATATCTAAATAAAGTATATTTATATATATATATATATATATATATATATTATCTACTAATCAATTTACACATACCCTATAATCTAAAATTAAGATTATTTAAAACAAATAAAATTGTATGA